CAAGAGATACATTTGAAACAGAAAGACACACAGAGAGTTAAAACAAGGGGCTGGAGCAGAATCTAATATATTTCAGCTGAAGTAAAAAAGGCAGGGGTAGCAATCATGATCTCAGACAAAGCAAAAGTAAAAATAGACCTAATTAAAAGAGATAAGCAAGGAAACTACATTTTGCTAAAATTGACAATGAAGAAATATATAAAATATTTTACAGCAAGTTTCTCTGATAAAGGCCTCCTTTCTCAACTGCATCAAATTTATAAAAATAGGAGCCGTTTTCCAATTGATAGTCAAAGGATAAACACAGGCAGTATTCAGAAGAAATCAAAGCTGTTTATAGTCACACAAAAAATGCTCTAAAACACTATTGATTAGAGAAACGAAAATTGAAACAACTCTGATGTACCACCTCACACCTATCAGAAATGACAAAGGAAAACAGGTACATTAATGAATTGTTGGTGGAGTTGCGGCGAACTAATCCAACCATTCTGGAGAACAATCTGGAACTATGTCCAAAGGGCTATAAAACTGTGCATACACTTTGATGCAAAAATACCACTATTGGTCTGTATCCCAAAGAGATAAAAGAAAAAGGAAAAGGGCCTATTAGTACAAAAATATTTATAGCAGCTCTTTTTGTAGTGGCAAAGAACTGGAAATTGAGAGGATGCTCATCAGTTGGGGAATGGCTCAACAAGTCATGGCATATGATTGTGATGGAATACTATTGTGCTAAAAGAAATGATGAGGGAGATGGTTTCAGAAAAAAACAGCAAGACCTATATGAACTGATGTAAAGTGAAGTGAGAAGAACAGGGAAATCATTGTGCTTAGTAACAGCAGTGTTGTAATGATGATCAAACTGTGAAAAACTTGGCTAATCTGATAAATACACTGATCCTAGACAATGCTAAAGGACTCATGATGAAAAAATGCTATCCACTTCTGGAGAGAGAACTGATGAACTCTGAGTGCAAACTGAAGTGTAATTTTTTTTGCTTTTTTTTTTGCAATATAGCTAATATGGAAATATGTTTTGTGTGATTTCACACTTATAATTGATATCATATTGCTTACCTTCTTAATGAGTGGGGGAAGGGTGGGAGGGAGAGAATTTGTAACTTAAATTTTAAAAAGAAAAGAATGCTAAAAATAAATAAATATTTAAATATTTTAAATTTTAAAAAAATTAGCCAAAAGCAAACCACATCTTTTGGTTCCTGCTTCTCCTTCATATTTATATTCCTGACAAGAATTTAAAAACAACTTACCTCGAATTCAGGAAAATTAAACTAAAGAGTAATCAGGTAAGTAGATGTAATTGGGATGTTATTTCCAAAATAAAGTAAATGTTAATTAATTATCCTTCACTTGTTAGCAAAAGTTATTTGAAAGGGAACTGTAGCATGACCCTGCTAAACTGGAGCCCTAGCAAGTAAAGAGCCTATAATTTTTGGCATTTGGGTGCAATCCTAGGGTGTCAGGATTATTCTGACGATGATAATGACGATGACAACACCTAGCCCATTTTAAGGATTGCAAAGCACTCCATGTATCTCATTTGATATCATCATTTCATTACGGTATCCTTTGGCAGTTGGTATTTTACATCATGCCTGAAAGATTTGTTAAAAAGTGAATGATTGTATTAGTGTGTGCTTGGTCCTCTTAAGAATTATGTTGCCAAGAGTCTTTACCATTGTGATGTACATAGCATCTCACTACAGGATCTTAGAGCTGGGTAGGATTTAAGAGATCACTTACTCCAAACACCCTCATTTCACAGAGGAGGAAACTAAGGTCCAGAGAGGCTTCAGTGACTTTGCCTAAGGTCACTGATAGTTAGGAGCAGAGGCAGGATTTCAAAGCCAGGTTCTCCTGCTCCTTCCACTGAACCATGCTGCCCCCTAGATTTTAGTAAGTTCCCTGTAAATGTTCTGTTTTGCTCTGCTTTTAAAAGACTACACAAGGGTACAAATTACACCTCCAGATCCTCCATAGTTTAAATTATCAATTGGTCCAGACTTGTGGATTTTATTGAGTAGGGAAAGTTCTCTGCCTCTCTCCATGTGGAAGCTCCCAGATAAGCCACCCCTCAGTAGCACACAGTTGCCTGGGGCTCTGGAAATAGAGGTGATTGCTATAGGACCTTAGATTTAGATCTGAAAGGGACCTTTGAGGCATTCCCATCCAACTCCTTCATTTACAGATGAGGAAACCGAGGCACAGGGAGAGGAAGTGATTTGCCCCATGTATTTGTGTGTGTGTGTGTGTGTGTGTGTGTGTGTGTGTGTATACGTATCTCCCGTACTCTTCACAAAGATTCCAGTTTAAAAAAGCATGAAGCGGAGATCCTGAGCATGCACATTTAGGCGCTGCTCCTTCGAAATAGCCTTCTTCAGATAACTGATGTGGGCAAAAATAAACCCAGCCAAAATTGGGTTACACAAATGCAGAGCACCGCTCTTCGCGGCCAAATGGTCTGAGTTTGTCAACGGGAAATACTGTGTAATTCTTTTAATTAGGGGTGCAGTTTTTTCCCCTCGGTTGTTCCGTTCTCTTCTCGGGTCTCAAATCAATCAGATGAAATTCACCTTTTCGGATGGCCTGAATCCTGATCGCTCCGCACACCCGATAGGTAATTTGATCATCGCCCATGTAGACCAGCGCAAGCTCACCTCTAAGACTGAAAGGGCCGAGGCTTCCCAGAGATCTCTGTGCTTTTTCCCCTTTTGTGCAGGGCTGAGCTTCACCAACTGGCTAGCTGAAGGTGTTATTAAAAATTTAGAGAAAGAAACAAAGGTGTGCTCTGATGTCTCCAGTTACTCTTTCTACTGTTACTGAAGCAGACAAAAGGCCTCGAGCCTCCCTCATGAATAATGCGACATGGAATATTCTTGATCCATTTTTAATGGCATCAAGTAATAACATTAAGATATTCACAATCTTCAAATTTCACATGGTAACAGGCCTAGTAATCTGTTTTGATTCTGAACCGGGAGAATTAAGACATTTCCTTCAGTAAACTGCAAATCCCCTAATACCAGGATCCTTCCTTGGGGGGTGGGGGTGGGGGTGGAGAGGAGGGGGTACCCCTATGTAGCATACATAGGAGAATTAAAAATGTGTCAGTAAGTCTTGGGTCTGGAAAGGCAACTGGGAGCATTTTCCACAAGGAGGGGAGACATCAGTTCTACAAAACCTATATGGAACTTCTCTATTCTCATGACATTAATTACCATACTGTATGAAGGCTTCTGTGGGGGAACATTAGGATGCCAAAGATCCTATGAATGGCCATTGGGGACCACTGGCAAAGCATCCCAGAAAGCTCTTCCCAGAGTGATCTCTCTGGACAACTCAGTTCTTCTACAAGCTCATTTGATAAGTTAAACAACTAAGTAGCTAAAGCTACAAAATAGGATGAGAAAAGACTTAGGATGGATGAATGAGGAAAAAAATCAGAAAGCAACTGGCAGTGAGGGGAAGGGATAGAGGCGGACAGGGTCTGGAAGACATCTATGCAGACCAGAGCTACCATCATGATTGGAGGATGTAAGCTCCTTCTGCAGAGACTTTAATTTGTGTTTTTGGACCCTAGCATCTAGTAGGTGCTTAATTAATGCTTGAAGTGAATTCAGCCAAACAGAACCCTGGGTATCTGAGCCTTGAGCTAGGATGAGTTTTTTTCTGATTGTTTTCATGGAATACCAAAAGATTATCTTTATTTTGTACACTGTTAGAGCTGCCCACACTCTGATTTGCACAAGCATCTTCCAAAGGTGGCCTTGGAATCCGGGGATAGCCTCCTGAGAGTATCACTGCCCCGGGGCTTCACAATGACTTTACCAAAAGTTAGTTAACCTGACTCCCTCACTCCCTGCCCTCCCCTTCTAAGAGGATCTGGGACTAGTTTTGTAGCTAGAAGGGAGCTGGGAAACTAGTTCTAGTTCAGATTTAATTCAACTACTTCATTTCACAGTTGTGGAAACAGGCCCAGAGGAGTGACTTGTCTTGACCTGAGTCAGTTAGTCAGTCAATAACCTAAGTACCTACCATGTGCCTGGCACTGTGCTAAGCACTAATTGCTGATGAAATAGTTGAGGTCAAAGTTGGGTTTAGAAACAAGCCGGACTCCTGATTGCTCCTGTACACCACTATAGCTCTAAACTTTAAAGAGTCTGCAGAGCCTCAGGGCTTCCACAGGAAAGGGCTTGGTTTTGTCACCTGTGAGCAGATGGAAAGTGGTAGGAAATGCCCAAGGCTCGAGGCACGGAGATAAAAGGTCCCCAGCTTAATGGGAAGAGGGCTGGGATTATAGGATCATGGATTTAGAGCTGGAGAGGACTTTAGGGATCAGCTAATCCAACTGCTTTGTTTTATACATGAAGAAACTGAAGCCCAGCGCAAGTGATTTGGCCAAGATGATAACAACAACAATAATCATAGCTAGCATTTACGAAGGGCTTTAAGGTTTACAAAATGCTTTCTTTCCATGTTATCTCATTTGATCTTTCAACTTATCTTCCACGTTTTACTGAAGAAGAAACTGAGGCAGAGAGATTTAGTGGTCACACTTAACCTCAGGGTCACACAGCTAAATCAGGCCAACCTGGCATTTGAACCCAGGGTCACGGACTCGGAATCTAGCACTCCCTGGGGCACCACACTTCAAATCCTGTCTCTGATACTTAACATTTATGTGTCTATGAGCAAATCATTCGACCTTTCTAAGCCTGGGGGTGGGGGGAACCTTACAGGGTTGTGAGAATTAAGTGAGAAAATATGCAGAAAGTATTTTTGTAAATTTCCAAATGCTATAAAAATGTCAGCCATGGGACAATCTTTTCTAGACAGTGGCTTGAATTTCACCTCCAATATTCTGACATTAGCTTATTTCCCTCTTGATTCTGCTTGCTTCTTTCTTTCAGACAAAGCTGAATTTCTTCCATATCTTATCCCCTTCTCTCCCCATTGACTTAATAAAGGTCCATGTGTACATTCTCAATACTTTATTAACTTAAATGTTACTCTAATAAATATGTTTCAATAAACATAATCCACTCCATAACATCTACAGAGACTGACAAACTTTGTCAAAGTCAACACCTCACTCTTCTCCTCTAAGGTACATGCAAACGTGTTTAAGGCAGAATCCACCGATCACACACACGTCTGCAGGTCCAGAGGTTTTAACAAATACGGGCTTAAGAATTAAAAAGACAAACAAACAAAACAACAACAAAAAGTTACAAACATGTCCTTGAAATGGTCTTTCGGCTACTTTCCAATCTCTCTAGAAAAGTCAGTAGTGCCCTCTGGGTCTTTTCTCTGGTCACTGCCTCTCCCAGGGCATGGCAATGATCATGACCAATCTTGGTCTTTATATCAAAAGATCTTTGTACTGCTCATCTTGATATCCCCCACAATGCCTTAGGTCAATGTCTCAAATACAGCAGGTGCTTAGTAGATATTTGTTCAACAGATGACTGTCTAGTAGTTAAATACCATTCTGTTCTTTAGCTGTCATTGGTAAATCCTTGGTCCATTGTTTTCCCACAGGGAAACACTCAAACTTCTTCAGGCAAACGCCATACCCTTCATTCTCCTACCCAGCCTGGCATAGGTGCCTTGATGAAGCTTATGGTTGTGTAGCATATCGTAGCAATCATTTCCACTTCTGAACAAGCCTGCAAGCGCACAGAGGGTCAGTCTGTGTGCTTCTAGATAGCTTAATAGACTTGAAAGGACATAGGTCTTTTGAAAAACTCCATGGAAGAAAAAGTAGCAATAAAGCCCCTCTCATTCACCTTTCCTTCAAAACTATTAAAACTGTTCTGGTTTGTAAGCAGTGTAACCTTCTATTACTTAAGTATTAATCAAATGGTCAGGGAAAAGGTGGAGGGAAGAACCCGGTTTCCAGCTGGAGGACTTCTTAGCTTGGTGGAAGGGTGGAGTTGTAGGGGGGGTGAGCAGAGGTATGGGGTGGCTGGAGTTGTCTGATCCCAGCCTGAGTCTGAGGTTTCAGGAATACAAGCTTGTCCAGTGTTTTCAAGACACAACAAGTCTGTTAGCTTCCACTTTAGGTCGAAGTACTTTTTAAAAGCTTCTGTTATGCCTTCTGGGTACTTGAGAGAAGTAAGGAGAAGTCATTAGATCTCTGATTTGAAAGAGAAGTAGAGCTTGAGGGGTAGAGATGGGATACAGGGACCTGGGGAAGGATGAGACAGAAAAAGGAGGGTCTGTTCCCAATAGTGTTGACTGAGGCTTCAGCATTCTGACTTGGACTCACTTCAGCCCATGCTGCGTCTCTCTGTGTCTCCGGAGATCCACCTTTCGCTGGAAGCCTTTCCCACACAGGTCACAACCAAAGGGCTTAAAGCCAGTGTGCTTTCGGCTGTGAGTGATGAGATTAGAGCTCTGGCTGAATGCTTTACCACACACCTGGCATTTGTGGGGCTTCTCACCTGCAAAGATGTAGAGAGTTGGAGTCATGGGGTGTGCAGGTGGGAAGGGAAAAAAATCTGTTAGATAAATCACCTGTGCTTGAAAAGGGATGGAGAAATCTGCCCTGTGCCCTGTTCCCCGGGCAGCAGCAAGCTTCCCCGTAGACCCATGGCTTAACCTAGAAGATTATGGCAAAAAGATCCTTGAATTATCACTGTTAATCAGTATACAGGAAATTTGTGGACATGTGAGTCTGGGTACCAATAGTCATCTTGCTGGGCAAAGCACAGTAATGGGGACCTGTGGCCTGTCACCTATTATCACAATGAAGGCATTTTCCATTAGCCCCTGTCCTAAGTGGGATGCTCCAAACCCAGGCTTCAAATAGCTTCCTGCAGTAGGGGAAAGGAGCGAAGGGTTTTCCTACAGTCTAATTTATACCCCAGCAAGGAGCTCCCACTCTCAAAGACAGCAAAAACAAACAAAAAAAAAAGTACAAACTGAGAAGAGAGGAGGACTCACCATTTCTCTGAATCCCCTAGGAAAATTTCAATTTGGCAAGGAGGCATTGTTAGGCACAAAAACAGGTTAAGAGATGGTTCATATAAATGATAATATTCTTTCTTTTTGTCTCTATATCCCCAAAGTTTACTTAGCATGGTGTCTGACAAAAGGATAAACTGGAATGAATAAAAATTGGAAGTGTGGGAATAATAACTAGTATGTATATAGCACTTTAAAGTTTGCAAAATGCTTCACAAATATCTCATTTGAGCTTCCCAACAACTCTGGGAGACAGATGCTGTTATCATGCCCATTTTACAGAGAAGGAAACTGAGGCTGAGGGAGGTTAAATGACTAGCCTGAGGTGAGAACTAGGAAGAATTTATGACTGTATTTGAACTCAGGTTGTCTTGACTGACTGAACTCTCTCTCTCCACTGTGTTACCTAGCTACCTCAGAGTCCTAATTTTAAAATCCAAGTTTAATTTTCAAGTATCTTGTCTTTCTTCACTCACCCCACCCACTCCCTTTGCTCTCATAAGGACGATCCATTTCTCGCTGTCTCTCTATCTGTCTTTCTCTCTGTCTCTGTCTGTCTTTCCTGAGGTGGGTAACAGGATTCTTTAGAAACTGGTACATTCTCACCATAGTCTGTTAATTAAGTAACAAGCAAACAATAGACTTACTGGCTTTCCTTTTACCAGGAATAAGCTCTTGCATTATTTAGTGAATGGGCAAATGCCAGAGATTTCTAAACACATTTTTCCATCCACTACTTTAGTTAAAAGCCTGCCCTAGACAAAATCTGAGGTCCATGAGGTGGTCTTCTCAGGAAACTCTGTTCTCTCTTCTGTGTCTCTTTCTGCCTTTTAATCTTGCTGTTCCAGATACCTCATGCTTTCATGTCCTTCCCAGATTGACTCAGTGCACCGTCCTAAGCATCAGTCCATACTCCAGACCAGAAGAGACTCCCTCGTCCAACTCCCTTATTTTCCAGATAAGACAACTCATGACCCCAGAAGGGAAATGTCCAATGGCTTACTAATGCATGGTAGCCACAAGCCTGGAATCTATGCCTCTTGCAAGAGGTTCTAACCATGGGGGTTTCAATTTTGGGCTTATTCTCTTTACTTGTCACACTTTACCTGGCTTTACGAATTCTTTTTTTTTTTTTTGAGGGGGTGGGGGAGAGAGAAGGAAGACTATGACTTAATAGGCACCAGTGTGTCACCAGTGTTCAAAGGCAAAGCCACAAATTAGACCACCCAACGTGTTGGTGGCCACCTCAGGTGTGATTAAGAGAGTGCTGGGAGGCCTCCCAGACCCCAAACTGCCTCCCCTGGGGTGCACAAAATCTCCATATTATTCTTTCTTTGCAGTTAAAGCACTGAAAGTTCCCCAGTCAAAATATAATTGTTATCAGGGAGGCTGATGCATTATACAGTCGTCACTCCCTTAAATCCATCAGATTAGATAACAGAGCTCAGTACAATGAAGGATTGGACCACAGGACAGGTAAATTTTGAGAAAAGACCAAGCATTCAAGAAAACAGGTACAATATTCCCTCCCCCCAAATAATAGTAAAGCCAGGTGGTTGAAGTGACTCCACTAAACAGGCGAAGTAGAAGCCCTATGAAGATCTCTGCGAAAATATCAAGACTGAAGCTGTGACCTCGAACTCTGGAGCTGGGAGCAGCAGTTGGTGGAGGGGGTGGGGGGGGGGGGGG